ATCGCCCTTGGGTTGGAGGCCATCGCCCTTGGGTTGGAGGCCATCGCCCTTGGGTTGGAGGCCATCGCTTGGCCATGAACTCTCCGTATGGAAATTGAGAAAGCTCTTAGCTCCGTTGGCCCACCGCCGCCTCGGTCGGCTGGCGGCGCTCCCGTCGCTCGGCCCAAGGGTCCGAAAGGCGACATTGTCCGAACTGATGGAGTCCAGGACCTGGTGGGTCGGAGACTCGGAGAGGGAGTAACACCACTCTTTGAGAGCAACTAAGGGGTTTGTGAACATATATGAACATTTTTCAGCAATTTGAAAATGTCTTAACACATCTGCATCCACATGAAAAGGGACGTCTATGACCTGTCCGGGACGTCTACGATTGCTATAATGAACTTGAAAGTTGCAGCGACTTGCAGTCCTTCCCTATGGCACTAAGACCACATGAGCCAGCACCATTGTCCAGCAGGAACTGCGCCAGCGCAGGATGCACGGCCAGACTTCCCCGAACCCCACGTCGCTGGAAGAGCTCCTCATCAGACCTGAGGACCGTAGTAGGGAACACCCATTTATGGCATTCGCCGGTAGAGGCAACCGACAGGCCATTTGTGACGCTACGTCGAGTCTAAACACCGTGCCGTTGTGGGGGAACACTGTGTGTCCGCTCGGCATCCGCTAATCCAGGCCACTTGCATTCCTCGAGGCACGTGAGGATTCGGTCGGGACTTGGAGAATCGACACCATTGAGTTGGCACGGCAGCACGAAGTATGTGCCCTCATTGCGGGATTTCTGCATTTCCTGGTGGTTAGCCGGCCACGGAAAATGACACCAGCATTATGTGCCATCTTCCTCTCACCTAGACCTGTCCACTAAAGTAAGGTTCCTCAACTTGTGGCCATCCGGGCGCGCAGAAAGAAAGAAAGAAAGAAAGACTGACAGGGCTCGCCAAATCTCGGAAAACACTAACGATCTAGATGACATGTAAGCATTGGGGGGCGGTAAACATTCCATGATTATTTGCAGGATTCCGGACTCCGTGCATTAACAGAAACCTGAGGAGGGAGGAGACGAACACCAGCCCTCGTAGACACTGAGTCTTTCAACGTATTTTTGCTAGGGGGGACCCGGCTAAATCTCAGAAGGTAGAAGCCCTTCTTTCTTCCCCAAAACTTCGACAAAGCGATTCGTAAGAGCACAAACACATAGCCTTGTCGTTGGGTCCGTTAGTTGGTGCGTTTCGGCCCACCCTTTCTTGGACCGCTTAGATGGCGTTCTACCCGTTCACTGCTGCTAGTACGAAACATGCCTGCTTGTCTCTACAGCGGGGCAGTACAGAAAACGGTCCTTTGTTCATACCACACACTGTCTTCGTCGTTGAGGCCTTTAAAGCGGTGACACGCCTGCTTGCAAGGTTGCCGTCTTCGCAGCTGACTGCTGGGGAACAACACACAACTAGACAGGCTGCTGTCCACTTGAATGGTATCCTGGCCACTTTGTGATGCTAATGATGCACCATTACACCTTTTTGGCATCACTCGCATCAGCCTAGCCCATGGGCTGGCTTTCGTGGTAGCTATGTGTATGTGTGATATTTGTATATCTGTGGGTGACAGATGACGCGATCTTTTTGGCCTCGCCTTCATGACCTCGGACTTTTCGATCTTGATTTGACGTAGGTCCGCGCTGAAGCTCCAGGGAATGGCTTCGGTGCTGATTTCTCGGCAAATGAACTTCCCCACCTCCTCACCACGCTCACCACCATCCAACACCAGACCAGTCCCCGAGCTGCGGTCCAAGACCTTGAAGCTGTAGCGGCCCTCTTTGGGACTGCCACCTCAAACGTTACACAGAGACGTAAGACACAGGATCATTCTGTAAGTCTGTGGCACCCCTCATGGGACAACAATGAGTAAGTTGTCGAGTCGTTTCATTTTTCTCATATTTGTTCACCATTCTGGCGCATGATGGCGCATAGATTCAAACCTAAGGGGCTCTATGGTGCACTTCTCTTCGCCGCTTCCCTGCCTATAGCACCAAGGATCCATTGACCAGACTTTTGATGTACCATGTCCAGGTCTTGTGGTTGGCTCCACCATCCTCTCCAAGGCCATGGAATTCCGCAAACCTCCGACAAATTGGCAGCATGACCGTTTGACACGTTCGTGTCCAATCTTCTGAAAAAAATGACAAGAGGACAATCAGTCAAGCCGCCCCTCGCTCTCTGGGCATCCTGCGGCAATTTCAACATCTCATGAGCCCAAAAGGTCAAGCGGAAAGCCAACAAAGTGCACCCAGAATATCAGACCTTCCCTCAAATCGCCAAGCTACTCTTTGGTCAATCAAGCCGAAGGCCAACCAAGGCTACCCAAATGATCACTTGCAGTTTTCTCTGGGCACTGGATCTGTGCAACGTCTCAGGAATCCTTGAAAAGACTCTAACCGGGTCTGTCGAGATTGCACACTGACAAATGAGTCATATGGAGCCTTCGCTACGAACACATTTTGAATTTCTGAGCACCATCTGGCCATTTAACCCGACAGATCAAAGCACCTTTGACAAGCTGTCCGCAGCAACTCTTTTGCATGTTGTTCCTTTGTTTCGACAACTTAAGATTCAAAGCCATTCAGCCTGAAAGCATCCATTCTTTAGATCTGTGAGCGGAAAGACTCACTTCGTGAGCTCCATGCCCGGGACCAGGATGCCGAGAATTGAATTTTTTCTTCGAAAATGCTGTTAAATACCACGTGGTAACGAGGACCCGAGGATGATGAACCTTTGAGGTCATCAACCCGACCTCCACAAACACACTGAAGACAAGTATCTTCACTGCTCCCACACTTCGCCAGAGCATTCTTCACCTGTGAGAGGCCACCATACAATGGCACGAGCGAAACCGTCATATTCTTCAGAACAGAAGCCCAAAGTATAATTCAGCCCGTTCCCAAGCAGAATGATAAATAACATGGTGTGGAATTGGGCCACCATGACCTCAGAAGCTGAATGGCTGCTATTTGGGCTCAACTTCAAGCACCGAACATTGCACATACACAACATATAAGAGGGAAAATTTGAAGCGGAAAATCTCCTAAGACGTCTTATGTGAACCATGATGGCAACAGTGCTAGCTGCTAGCTGCTAGCTGCCTGCTTGGCACGGTATGTAACCCGATGTGTTGGTCACTCCTCTCGTGTCGACGAAAACCAGAAACGCCTTTCCGCGATCTGAGAGGCTGCTGCAAAATGTGCCCAAAATGGGAGGATACCAAAGGCGCTTGTCCCGTAGAAAAATGCGAAATTCTCGCGCAGCTTCCAGCATTGCTCTTTCATTGAGGCGTCTGTCAGTGTTTGTTGAATCCGATATCCTAGGCGCGATCAACCCATGATCACCTCGCAAATACAGCTAGCGACCCCCAGCAACACAAACAACTTGGCAAAACAGAAAGCAAGTCAAAGCAACTTACAGTAGAATAACGAAGCATGGAAAGAAAACTAGAGTTCGTTGAGAGGACCAATACCCAAATGAACGGACTAGTTTACCACTTGCTGTATGCAAAACCAGTGGCATCGAAGCACCAAAGGGTCATGAACCATCATAAAACCATTGTCCGTTGTGGTGCATCCCACGGCCCAATCGTGACAATCAAACTTTCTTGCAGGCAAAGGATCGGCCGAGCAGGTATGACTGGAAAGGGGGTGCCGTTGCTGTGCTGGCTGAGTTTCAAGTTTGCCCATGCCATGACTTCCACTTCCGATTCAGTGATCTGACGTCGCGTGGGATGAACCCTTGGAACGCAAGCAAGTCCAAGAGATGCTGCGTGTATTGCCGGCCAGTTTCCACTCGTTTCGGTGGGTCATCACGAGCTATCATTCCTACAGCAGCTCAAAGAGTTTGTTTGAGGGTCTTATGTAGGTTGGAGGCCATCGCTAGTAGGTTGGAGACCATCGCTGTTAGGATGGAGGCTATTGTTATCAGTAGTGCCCTTGCTAGTAGTTTCCTTTTGCTATTAGGTTGGAGGCCATCGCTATTAGGTTGATTCAGGCTGATTCCACCAGATTGCCACCCAAGTTTGCCCGCGCTGTCTGGAAACTTCAACACCCCAGAGCCAAGCAGCCTATAATCCAACCACTCAAGGATGTAACTCACGACATTCTCAACCACTTCCTTGCCCGTCGGGCATTCACCGTTGTCCGTCCGTTAAACCACAAAGAAATGCTTTCCTTTTGACTGTGCTGAATCACCAATCGAATGAATACAAGGAGAGTCTTTCGTACACCATCTCGCCCTCTACCTGTGGCTCCTTCGCTGCGTCTTACGCACTCGATTGAAGCCGTGAGAGCCCCGAAGCAAAAACTCTTTGAAGCCGTGCATGGACAAAGGCGGAGTGGAGGTGGCGAAACGAGACAAGGAGCTGAATGTCGAGTCTGAGCGTTTGAATCTGAGCCACCTTGGGTGGCCTTGAAGGCGTGCTATTGATGAAAGACGGGCCGAGAAGCGAAGAAGAATGTAAAACGAGCTCGGACATGAAGAGGCACACAGCAAGCTTGAGTGCTCGACATGTTGAAAGGCGGACGCTAAACAATGAACGGAGCCAGTCAATTCTCGAGAAAGTTCTGCATGCCAGACGCAGTGAGCAAATGACCAGCTGCTTAGCAGTTGGGCGGTGCCTATTTGGCTAGCACAGAACATCCTTCCCGCAATTTGAGGCAGATTTGCTTGTCAATCAGCCCACACATGTCAGCGGAAAAGGCCGTGTGCAAGGTTTATGCCCCGGAAATTTTGCGTTGAATCTTATTAGTGCTGGCATCTACATTGGATTCAACATGGAAAGCAAGTCGGAAACATGTACGTGAGTTCAATGAACTCTGCTCAAGCCGTCAGTAATCCGCAAAGTTTCGGCGAGGAAAATTGCCAAGATGGCATAAGCGGCCGTCTCTTCTCCCACCAGCAGCATTGGATTCCGCGACAAAACTCGTGCAAGCACAATGGCAAGAACTACGAAGAACCTCAGTGCAACAAGCATGAAAGGTTTGAAGAGCATGCCGCATGCTTCTTTTTCAAGGAATATGTATTTTGCTTGCTTCGTCTTTCTGCGAAGCCTGGGAAGGCCCATGCTATACTTCACCTCTTGGAGGAGCAAGCTGCAACGTGTCGGAGTTCTCCTGCGAGAGAGAAGTCTGGCACTGAGAACTCATAGTGCTACATAGTGCTACTCACTGCACCACCAGGTTGGAGGTCATTGCTTTAGATCTTGAACTCCACTCCCCGCCATTCATGATCCTGGAGTGCAAGAGCCGACAGCTCTTGGGTTCCACCCACACCCATGGCCTGCCACACGTGACGATCGCCAAAGCACGATCAAGCATCCCCACCCGGACCAGGATGTTCCTTAGATCCAATCCAAGCTCGGATTTACATCTGTTACATGCACGGATTTGGTCCTCTGTCTTCCAAGTTGTGTTTATTTACTATTTCTTCTTTTGACCTTTCTTTCTCTTTTCCCCAGGTAGCGACCTATTGGGGTTCTCACTGTGCTTGTGTGCGCTTTGGAGCTTGGACGCTGGTGCCGCTGCAGCATCCCGCTGCTGCCAGCAAATATGTTTGCTGTCTAGGGGGTCTCTCCCTCCCTCCCTCCCTCCCTCCCTCCCTCCCTCTCTCTCTCTCTCTCTCTCTCTCTCTCTCTGGCGTCATTTCTTTAGACCTTGAGACCTTTTTCTGTATTTTTTTAACCTTTAGGCCTTTCTTTGTGCTTCTTTCTTAGATGGGCGCCAATCACTGTGCCAAGGCTCCACGCCAACGTACTCAGCACAGGCACCAAGAAGTCCAGATTTGACCGTGCCGAATGCAACATGTCCGACAAAATCAGGGTCATGCGAGCACCTCAGGAGTGGAACACAATTCTGGAGGGAAAGTGAGCATCGGAAGAAAGCAAAGCACAAGTTCTGCCACGATGCCCTCCGCCATGGCATGAACTAGTGCGATTTGCACAGAAACCAGGACTCCCTGGTTGGTGTGCTGATAGGCCCTTCTCACCCATCTCTCCTGTCACAAAGTTCCAAGGTTTAGGGGCAGAGTTGAGGCAGCCCAAGTCAAACTCAAAGGGTTTCAGCAAAACTCAAGTGTTCAATCGCTTTTGTTGAGCTCAACCAGTCCTCGATGAATTCCCGTGTGAAAGTTCGCTGCAGAAGGAGAAGGCATCCCATCTCGTAGAGGCTAAGCATTGCTGGCATCAGTGCCCCTGAGCAGTCCAGTCTTCAAGTTCCCATTCTTTATTTGGAGGCCATTGCTTTGTTGGAGGCCATCGCTCTTAGGTTGGAGGACACCGCCTTTAGGTTGGAGGCGACGCTTTTAGGTTGGAGGCCATTGCTTTTAGGTTGGAGGCCATTGCTTTTAGGTTGGAGGCCGCCGCTTTGAGCTTGGAGGCCGTCGCTTTAAGGTCGGAGGCCATCGCTTTTGGGTTGGAGGCCATCGCTCTGAGGTTGGAGGCCATGGCCCTTAGGTTGGAGGACATTCCTTTTAGGTTTGAGGCCATCATCATTGCTTTTTAAAAGGCCGGAGGCCATTCCATTTAAGTTAGAGGCCATCGATTTTAGGTTGGAGAAGGATGGAGAAGGCATTCCTTTTAGGTTGGAGGCCATCGCTCTTAGGTTGGAGGTCATCGCTCTTAGGTTGGAGGTCATCGCTCTTAGGTTGGAGGCCATCGCTGTCAGGTTGGAGGCCATCGCTGCTGGGTTGGAGGCCACCACTGTCAGGTTGGAGGCCATCGCTGCCGAGTTGGAGGCCATCACTGTCAGGTTGGAGGCCACCGCTGTCAGGTTGGAGGCCATTCTCCATTCCTTTCAACTTGGAGGCCATCTCAGTGCTTCATGACGGGTGATCTGTCACGCATCTTCACGCCTAGCCAAAATCCCACAATGAAGCGCTTGACCACGCTGTACGACGCGGTCACTATGAAGAACCCCACCTGGGCCGCGCCAAGTAGAACCAAGTGGGATCTGCTTCATACATTAACACAAGGCTCCGTTTTTGGGCTACCTGGCGGTTTTCTCAGCCAAGTTGCCAAAGCGACACCCAAAGTGGCAGGTCCCATTTTTTGGGAATAGCGTTTATTCAAAGGATCTGGCAGGACCGCTGGTGCGACGATTTCCCCTCCAGCTATCACTACAATGTGCCCGACGCCGTACACAAAAACGAAACCAAGATGTTCATGTTCTTCACCAATGTACCTGAAGAGGGCATTGGGGGGGCTAAAAAACTCGAAAATGCTGGTTTGTTGGTCTGTAGCACGTGCATCTTAGGCATGACAAAATAGAATATGCCCATTTGCGACAGTGAATTGCAGGAATAACATGTGCATTCAACCATGTGAACTGGTACCGACAGCGTAGCGAAAGCCGAGACACACAAAAATAAAGGCGGCGTAGATCAGCAAGCAGAGAAATGATATCATCAGTGTGCCCGCAACTGCGCGGACTGCACTGTAGCCCTCCAGATTGGCTGCTTCAGCAATGAAATGAGGCCCAAGGCCAGTCCTGGTTCAGTGCTGCACCCAAACCCTGACAGCGTTTAGGCAAACAATACCCTCGGAGATGCTAGGAACTGCGGCAACTTCTGAATTCTGTCCTGAGGCAAACCAGTGCGGAATTGTCTGGAATCGAACCATGCACATTGAAGCCACGCAGGTTCCCTACCGCTACCAAATGAACAGGTAGAAAATACACCGCCACCCAGCCAAGGAAGCGAAAGAGCAGCACAAACCAGCGCTCTTTTGCAACTCCTCCCGAGAATGATGCACGGAAATCATCCAGCAAGGCATCAACACGAATCACGTGCCTGGGATGCCAGCCTCGGAGATGCTCCACGCAAACAAACCTGGCTTTGCAACGACTCAAGAACAAATGCACACGTAAAAACCCGCATGTTTTGCTTACCTGCACTGCTCTGGTGTTCAATGGATCCCCGGCATCTCTTGATCGCAAGCCACCTTGTTGTGGTAATGGTGGTGCACACGTTTTTCCTACTTGCAATGAAGTGTTCTGACCCCTCCCCCCATTCCTCAAAAAAGGAAAAGCAGCTGGGCTGGGCCTGCCAAAAGGAAAAGACCTCCAATAGCAGAGGCCTTGATGGTGTCGTAAAAAGTCGGCAGGCATAGCTGTACTGCAGGATCGCTTGGATGGATTGCCTGGCCAAGTGGTTGACCATGCTGACTTGCAAGTCGACAGTGTTTTGCCAACACAACAAAGCTGTTAGAACTTGTCTCAATTTTTTTGGCGCCCTCACGCCCATGCCTCTGTAGTATCTATCGACGCTGGTTTTCCCGGAGGGGCGGGCGCTGCCAAGTGGGAGGGTTTCGGCGGCCCACCTGGCACCGCCCCTGCCGCCGCCATGGCTCATTGCTGCCCCACGCATGCATGAGCCCTTGCTCCGAAGGTCAGCAAAAATGTCGCAACAAAAATGACACAATGGATCGGAATGACGACATATGACGACAGAAATCCGACTTAAACCTTTTGTGTGCCTTGGGCGCTGTAGCAAAACATAGTGCTTGGTGCCTGAGGCCCAACATAGTGTTTGGTGCCCGAGGCCTTCCATTGGGTGGTGGTTGGCCTGCTCGTTGATGGAGCTGGTCACTGCCCACGGGCGGAGTGTGCCGCGCCACGGCACTTGGTGTCAAATACCCGTGATTTGTGCAATCCGATGTGGCAAACATTGCGAGCAAAAAACATGTCAACGCTGAGCAGAAGAAGTCAACGATGAGCACAAAAACACACACAAAGGCGCATGCCTTCCAATGAGGGGATAACAAAGTGAAGAGGGACAAGCAATGAACCATACCTCTTAACAGCACACCTGGGGCACTTGAGCCTGGTTTGTTGCAAAAGCACGCGCACAAATCAGAAAAAAAAAAAAGTGAGGATGACAGGGCATGGAAACAAAAAGGGCCAAAGAAAAACAAAGGTTCAAACAGGATCAAACAGGAGGAGAGGGATCCCCAGCTATGACGGACGCACCAGGGAAGAGAGGGAGAGAGGGACAGAGGGACAGAGGCGAGAGGGAGAGAGGGAGACAGAGACAGAGACAGAGACAGAGACAGAGACACAGAGACACAGAGACACAGAGACACAGAGACACAGAGA